AAAAAGATAGGCTTTTTATGTAATTGGGACTAGGTACCGTGCGATAATGAACATAGCTTTCAGTTTACGAGATAGGATGTTAGTTATGAAATGATCAACAGCAGCTGACTCAGTTTTGAATATGCAAATTATTATCACATAGTACATCACAATTTCCATTATCAAATACAATTATTATCACTATCTAAACTCACATCACCATGAAAACATCAAATTCTACAATTATTAATTGCTGTGAAAAATTTTACAAGTTGAGCAGAATAATTATTTGCTTTGTGAACAGTACTTGATCACTGAGAAATAATTTCACTTTTGTGCATGATAACAAACACAAAACATTCAAACACCCACTCATTCCGATATGTACATAGCATACTCACTTGTATATAATTAACAGGTACATATTTGTTGGATTGCACCGAAATGAGTTGTTTCAGTAGAGGAAGTTGCTTATATAACCCATGTTATTCACAATGCAGTGTTCCACAAATCCATTAACTGAACAACCAAGCAGGCTGTCACTAATTCAAATTACAGAATAACCCTGGTTTAAAGATATCAACAAAATTTCAGAACATTTAATGAAAAGTCTAGTCTGTGACAAGTAACTTCAAAACTGATAAATGCAAGTTTTGTCAAAAAAAACAATTTTGGTGCTCTTTTCATATTAAAAGGAAATTTCCTTGTTCATATTTAACTCACAGCTACCCGAATTTGAGCACAGTATAATTATTTCCAAATGCATTTTCATTAAATTAATTTTAAGCATTTTCATCTGCTGTTGGAAGCCAAAATGCCATATTGGTACATGCTGATGCAAGCATCATGTACTTTGGATTAAACTGAACACACTGCACTGGTGCAGGATGGTCAGCATTAAGGACACACACTTTGTAGCCTGTGTCTGCATTCCATACATGAACTCGTCCATCTGTAGAGCCACTAAAAACAAACTGTGAATCAGGACTGAAGGAAGCCTCAATAGGGATCCCCTTGTTGTTGAGGTGACCAGTGAATGTCTGCATTGGAGTTCCATGAAAAGCATCAATAAGCCGAATAATGGAGCCATTTGTTGAAATTAAGATCGTCTTCCCATCCCGACTGAACTTCAGACCTGTCCAATCACACTCCTTTTCTTGACTCAACTTGAATGTTATAAATGGACCTTTGTCAAATGACCTCAGATCATACAGCTTAATACTCTCTGAATTAACACCGGCTGCAAATATAAGCCCTTCTGGGTCATATGCTGCAACAGGCCGACCTGAAAGATGCATAAGTCCTTGGCAGTTTGGAGATCTCAAGTCCCATAATCTGAGGGTCTTATCCAGTGACCCAGAAAGAAAAGTATCTTCCACAGGAGAAATACAAAGTGATACAACCTTCTTTGTATGCCCAGGGAAGTACCTGATGTATTTGTTATCATGGAGGGATAAGTATCTTATTGTATCATCTACTTTTGTTGAACTGTGAACAGCAGTATTTTTTGCATGTGTGAAGTGGATAAGGTCCACTCCATACTTTTTACTGTTGACAGTTCTCATCTGGGTTCCCTTCTCACAGTCATAAATTACAATTTGATCATCTTCGCTGCAAGAAATCAATGTGTCTCCGCTTGGGGAAAAGTCAATGCTGTTTATTTTATCGGTGTTCTCCCGAAACACCTTAGCAACTTTAAAACTTCGAACAACGTGATCAACCAACTTCATTTTTGGGGTTAGGATTATTTTCTTAAGGTTTCCTATTGTAAAAGAACTGGTATTTAGTCAAATCTCTTCTCAGCAATGCAGACTCCGTGAAACAAAGAACAAACGCCGATCAACTAACAGCACCGTTCACAAAAGGCAGGAGCATTCCGTACTTCTCTCCGGTACTATATTTGCGTACATTACTAAGTACAATGTTTAAACATATAGTTTTTCCTGTAAGACATACAATTTGGAAGGAGCACAAAATTTATGACTATTTGTACCAGTTCCAGCTCCCCCTCCTTAAACCGTCAATTAGCATCCACGAGCATCCACTCAATTTTAACACAGACCTCTCGATCACAGTATACCACAATCGATCGTTAAACACGTCCATACAAATATTCTCTCAATTTCTCTGCTGTCACTGCTACGAAATAATGCTGCATAACCTCGAGCAGAGATTGAACACAACTGTTTCCACCAAGGATACTCAATGCGTGGCACGAACAATTAATTCATATTTACAGTATCGCCACAAGAGTGCAGGCAATGCAGCAATTACATTGGCAAAAATTACATTTAGAAAACCAAGTAAATATTATTTGGAATTACTGTTACACTATGTACATAAAGATATGGCCACTTCAACATTTACTGGCGCCTATTAAAACACTTCTCAGCCTCTTATACGTGCTTGCCTATCAGTGTTATAATAATGTCTCTCACTGTAATAAAAACAATAATAAATAACTTGTTTAATGCAAAATGGTCATCGACGCATATCTTATATTATATATTATCTTACTATAAAAATTTGTGATTCCTCGTTGTCTTCAACCAATTTGTCTTCAAAAAATGACGTCATCAACAATGCCAACAGATATTTGTTTACTCGACATTGTTGTGGAACACAACAATGCCGTGTAAACAAATATATATTGGCATTGTTGAAGTTGACACAACAATGCCGAGTAAACAAATAACGCTTCACAACAAAAGAAATCAAAGAATATCAAGTCAGTCGCATTATCACTGCTCCAGAAACAGCACGTCGCATTCTTAAGAATTGACTAACAGTTGTCCTAAAACATCAGGAAAGTGAAAGAAGACGTTATCAAGTATTTGAAGTACCAACTCCAACAAGGTAAAGTGATACTCATTCGATATATTATGATTATGATCGATTTTGAGACAAAGATTTGCAAGGGTGAACGTGAAAAGTTGACTGAACAAGAATAGTTGGCCTCTGAACAGCGACGTAAAGAACTACAACATGAGACTTATTTAAGAAATAAAGAAAAGCGAAAGAAGACTTACATTGATAAATGTAGAAATTTGACTGACCTAGAACAGTTAGCCTCTGAACAGCGATGTAAAGAACTACTACATCAGACCTATTTAAGAAATAAAGAAGAGCGAAAGAAAACTTACATTGATAGACGAGACCATATTAACGACACACGTAGAAAGACTTATTCGGTAAGAACAGAGGAGAAAATAAAACAAGACGCTGAAAAGGAAATTATTAATGAAGAACCGAGGAAGACTGCTAATAGCAGCACATTTTATGAACGACGAACATCAACAACATTATCTCGGACCTATGAACTATGAATGTATTCATTGCAA